ATCTGGTAAAGCTGTGCCATGCTGTTTCTGTATGGAGGTTGTACAAATGACATCGTGGGTTGAACTGCACGATGATACAGCAGTTTGCAATACGACTGGGCTCCCATCGGTTGCTGTTAGTGTGTTGGCCTGAGGTGTAAAAACCTCCGCGTGGACGCTTAGGCTGGTTTGAGATGAGGCTGTAATTTAGTCGGGCACAACCTGCGGTGATGGCCAGACGTTTTGCGGTGATAGCAATTGATTGTGCTTGTACATTCATGTGTGGCATGCCGTGTACTACAGCACATTCAGAAAAGGTTGAGCGCTGGCTCTGGAGAGCTCCCGTGTTTGACGCTTTTGTGGTACACTGTGCAGTGCCGCGCGATTCGAAACTTGAAAAAGGGTCCGAAAATGCACCTCAACTGGGGTTCGAACCGCAAATGTACTGTGATGCAAGTGGAGTGAACGGCCTGGATTTTCATGGTTTTTACTAGGGCTGAAACAATTATGCCGATAACTCGCATATCGATCGTTAAGAGTGCAATCGATAATCGTTAGTGTTCAAAACGAGCGCTAACGATTTATTTATATTATGTTATGCATGCGTATCAGTGACAGTATTCTAGCCCTTGCACTCCATCCGATAGTGAATACGAGTACAATCATGTACTTCCAAGCGCGGTAAAATTGATTTGTGGCTTTGAAAGAGATCAGGAGAGAAGACTTTGTCTTTTGGGTTCATTTGTGTGAAAGGTTGGAGATAAGGGCAGTTGCCAGAGGGTGATTACAAGATTCTTTGCTCTAGAAACAACATGAAATTCTCTAGTTCATGTTGATAAAACCAGCCAGATTTCCACAGATGTCAACAGTGCGGTGCTACAAATTTCTAATGTACCAAAGGCATCATGGAATTTCTTCATAAACTGGTGTGCGAGGTACACGAGTAGAGCCGACAAGAATCGATAAAACCAATATATCGTTCGTTAATGATATTGGTTGATCGTTAGGAGTTATTGAATGATCGTTTCAGCCCTAGTTTTTACCCAATTCAGTGCTTTGGGGGCAAAACCTGGCCGAAATCCTATTCTTGTTATGGCTTGCTTATTGGAGAAATAGACTTCAAAAACACAATTGGAAGAACATTCCATGGGGATTGCCAAAAAAAAGGAGACGAAAACTCAAAATTTGACCCGTTTATGGCCAAAAGCTAGGATATCAACCTTTTCTGAATGGACTGTAAGGCATTTAAGGCAACGAACTTGGGCTGCCTTCGTTCTGTCGTCAATCGTGATGTTGTTGTGCCCGCGCTGGGCACAACAGTACGAAATAGAGGTTGCGACTTCGGCGATCCTATGGCGATCCTATGGAGCGTCCATAAACATTGTTATTGCCCAATTGAATGATTGACAGTGGGTCCACGGACAAGGCTGCATCCACTTGTTTAACTGCTTCCTTGGTCAGCTTCAGCGAAGTCCATTGGGCTGAAATCTCACCAAATTCCAGCGAAATACATGCTGTTTCCGCTGCAGAACTGATAGACGGATAATCGTTGCTGGAAGTTTAGCGAGCATTCTATGGATTCTTCTTCATTCGCGCCGACGAAAACAGTCATTTCAAGCCCTGCTTTCTCCCTTTCAGTGGGTGCTCGGATTGGAGAAGATTTCCTTCCCTTCCTCCTTTTTTTTGCATGTTGGGAAAAACCGTCCTTGTGGCTCAAGAACCTTTCGGGAGTGCATGCGGTCGGGCAGCTTCCAGAACACTCTGTGGACTGGGCTGTCCCCATGAGTGCTGTTGCTTCCCTCATTAGACCAACCAGTTGATTGAGACAAATACTGGGAAATTCCTTTGCGGCTGAAATAGCCGCTGCCAAACGCCGGACCTCTTCCTCTTTAGTCTGCAAATTACGGTCTTGGGAACGGTTCGGTTGGTGAAGTGGATCAGGCTCAGGGCTAGGGCTTCTGCACTGAGGCAGTGGGTCCAGACCTGAAGCAATGAAGTCCAACACTTTGTGGCAGTGCTTGCAAAGATATCCTGACAGGTAATCCTCACAGTCACACTGTATAGCATGCCTGCTGCACCCAAGGCACGCTTTGCAACATCGCAAGCAATCTTGACATTGATCGTGCGATTTCAGGACCGTGTGCTGCCACTCAGGGTCGCTTTGCGAATTTACGAGAAACCTTCCCGCCGCAGATGCTTCCTGGATATCTCCGTCGCATCCACGTTCATAACGAGAGGACATCAGCGCTTGAAAACGGTCCTTTTTCAAACCATGTTTATGCCGCAAAAAAATCTATGAACTCCACGTGTTGCAACTCAAGAAGGACATTAATTAGGGTTTCAATGCGCCTATTGTGGCGGCCAGACATGTACTGCGGGTTTCGCTTCAGCTTGCTGTGATACCCTTCGACAGCATTGTTCGTATTTACGTTTCCATACTCAAAGTCTCGAAAGCAGTATGCCCATTCCTCACTTCGTGGAAGAATGTAGCGGTCAAAATATTGCAGACATTCTTGGGAATTCTCTTCGAGGAACTTGACGAAGCTTTCGCACTTAAAGGGGAAGTGCATCGATTTTTCGAGTATGGTCCAGAAGAAAGACAATTTGATATCGGTTCGAATGGCATATCTCTCGCTTCCATACGATAAGCCAAACTTGCCAAATCGCCAATTGTATACTCACGTTGCCATAGCGACCAGCGCAGTGATGACGTACGAAAGGCTTAGCTCCACCACAGAGAAGGTCGATCACTGCAGAATTTGGTCATTTTCAATTGGTTTATTGTATTCACGAAGTGAAAGAAGGGCTGTGTTCAATGCTGTAAGTGCAGTGAACTGTTTGTTAGTAGTCCTCTCGGTTGTGTACTTGGACGTGACACCGACAGGAGAAAGCTGGAGCGCGGAGACACCAGCAAACAAGCGAAAATAGTGACGAACAAAATGCTGAAATCTTGGTTGGGACAAATCAGACGTTCAGCATTTCCCCCAACCAAGGACCATGCCGTTTGCTCTTTCCACTTCCTGAAGATGATTGTGATGCTTCCTGGCGACTTCCCTATCTTTCGTAACATCTTCTGAAGCCAGGTGAGACGACGGGTGGTGGAGATTGACGAATGAAATAATGTAGTAGGTTTGAAAGTTTGCTGAAAATGTCTCAGGAGAGACGGCGACTTCCAAGCATCTTGTCCTGGAGGAAACCATTTCCTAGGCACAGTCAGCCTTGGGAAATGCATGAGAAGGGCGACAAATAGTTCACGGCACTAACAGCATTGAACACAGCACTTCTTTCACATCGTGAATACAATAAACCAATTGAAAATGACCAAATTCTGCAGTGATCGACCTTCTCTGTGGAGGAGCTAAGCCTTTCGTACGTCATCACTCCGCTGGTCGCTATGGCAACGTGAGCATACAATTGGCGATTTGGCAAGTTTGGCTTATCGTGTGGAAACGAGAGATATGCCATTCGAACCGATATCAAATTGTCTTTCTTCTGGACCCTACTCGAAAAATCGATGCACTTCCCCTTTAAGCAGAAATTCCTCCTGACTTGGCTCTTTCTGAAGAACCAGAAATGCTGGAAAAATTTGTTTGCACAGTTCTCTATTTTCTCGTACCTTGAACAGTACTTGCGTTCGCGCACTCTTGGATATGTGCCACGCGCAAAGAAGATGCCGGGGACTAGGTCCAACCACATCACGGGCGGCATTGGCTCCAGCCTGATCACCATCGGTCATTAGAACCCTGACATCTGGACTCCTTGATGCCACTGCGCCAAAGAATGCCCTCATGGTGTTGTAATCTTCCTTGTCAGAAATGCACCATGCACCAAAGAATGCCCTCATGGTGTTGTAATCTTCCTGGTCAAAAATGCACCATGCCACTGTTCGGCCACATCCATATTGGTCAACAACAACCAACGTTATAAGTTTAAACTTGTAACTGTTGGTGCAGTGCGTTGAGTCACAACACACAATGCTGCTGGCAAACTGCTGGAACATAGTTTCCTGATGGCTAGTCTG